TATTTTACAACTCTGTAGGAGTAGAACATAAATTGTGGCAAACTGATAACAATACAAATAATTCCTCTCTGTAACAACACAAATGACTTTTTATTCAGTAGAAAATGTAAATCTTTATAAAGCAAATTCTCCTTTGAAACAGTTTTAACCTTTTATTGGTCTCCTCATTAATTAGTGAGTTAAATAAAATCATTGGCACATGTTCATTTTATATCTGTAAGACAGTTATGATTTCACTGCCACAGTATCCTTTGAAAGTCCAGGACATGGCACAAAGCGGGGGGTACCTGGTGAATTTTAATTAAACTGATATATAAATAATGATGGGGAAAAGGAACGCAAATTGGTTAAGTGTTTTTTTCCTCCTGCTTTGTGTGCACAGGGAGAAGCAGCCCTGAATTTCAGAACAATAGATGGGATAAGAGCCAAGCCAGAAGCACTGAATATGAAACTTAGGTGGGCTGCAGTATCCTTATTTACAGCTGGATCTATAAAGGAACAACGAGGAGACAGGGATTTTATGTCTGAACAGAATAAGGGAAAACAAGGAAGACAGTCTAAAACACTTTTGTTTCCAAAGAAATGGAGGGACACACACATGTGTATGCACATACACACACAAGGTGTGTCTATAGTTATCGCTGATTTCTAGCTCCAAAGATGGCTGGAAATTGCTCATAGTGTATAGTCACATAGTCGTCTAAGCAAATTTGGAATTTCAGTATGGTCACGACATTGCTGCTATCACAATTCCCAAATTTCTGTACATGTCCCTAAACAAGTCTCTTTTTCCTGGCTGCTCAATTAACCCTGCATCAAATGACGAGATCACAGACAGCATAAAGGTTAAATAAATAGTTAGTGTTCCCCTCTAGCTACTAAACACACATGCAATCTCTTAACTATTTGGTAGCTATAAAAATGGGAAAATTAAGAGGGCAATATGAAAATGCTCTTATTATTCCTGCTTGAGGGTCAAGCAAAATGTTTCTAATAAAACAGCCTATCTTGCCTCTGTGAAGGTCAATAACATGTAAGGAAATTATTTGCAAACGGGCTCCTATGTTTCATATTTCCCTTACCCTATGAAGGAAGCCTGGCTTCTAGCTAATGGGACATCCACTTGGCTCATAACATTTTTGATTTTTACTTTCGTGGAACCATAAATATTGACACCCATCTCAGCAAAATGCTGGTATCACATCTGTCCCATACTCCCTCTGGCAGACTGACATGGGCCATTCTACATGCAAATCAGAGTCCAGTTCTTTGGAAATTACGAATGCTGATCCCAGGAGGACGGTATTCTTGTTGACACACCAGGGAATCTCAAAGGCACTGCTTGCAAGGTTTTGTCAGGACTTCACCTGATTCGGAGAGGAACTCTTCACTTCATCACAAAATGAAAGATTATGTGAAGCTTTCTAAGGGGGTAAAAAGTACACAAAAACTTTTAAATGCTCTTGCCAAGAGAGATCCCAGTGAATTAGAATATAATCCTTCCTCACTGTCTAATCAATCTCTTCCTTCCACAGTCCAACACACAGGGCTCCCCCAGCGTGGATGGTCCGTGTTAGACACACCGAAATTCATTATCTTATCTGTCTGGTGCCACTGTTTCCAATAAAGTGTAATTATGGTGTTATTGAGCTCTTTCTCACTTTATCAAAGCCATGCTATAAACTTTGGGTTTGTGAGCAGTTACTGCTGTCGGTCTTCATTAAGTTGAATTGTCTCAGAACAATGTCTACTTAACCAGCAAGGTGCCTACTAATTTTCTTTTTTAGAATTTGTATTAATTTAACAGGCACTGGGTGACTCCATGTCTCAGACACTACACAAACACAACATAGCGTTTCCTCTGGTTTCAGATGGTCAAGTAGCCGGTGAATGGGATAACCTGGTCCAGAAGATCCTCCCTCTCTCACTCCGGCACCGCCCATCTGGGCTGGCTATCTCCCCTGTGGCAGCACTCTGCACTTCCCAAATATAACAAGAGGATTATTATATTTATTTTAATAGTGCACTGTTATAAGTGGCAAATGTAAGGTGATTCGTTATCGCCTCTGTCACTGAAGACACCTAAATTCTTTGAGGCGGGGGCTTGTTCACTGTTGTCCTTTCCACCAGTGGCTTGGACAGTGCCAGGCATGTGGTAAAATGCTAATTAATGAATACTTATTGAGGGATTGGAAGGATGGCTGAGCATACATCACATCATTTCCATGTACTTCTCATCATGCCCAGTAGAACCACTGGCCAGAAATTCAACATGCTCATAGATCCAAATAGCAGAAGAAGAGAGAAAAGAATTATTTTACTGAGCACCTACTATGTGCACAGTTCCAGCACTGCACAGGGCATGGAGAGGGCCTTTCGGGTCATAACAAAGACCTCATTTTTACAGATTTTGCTGAATAAAGCTGATTTCCAAAGAGAAAAATTGTAAGAATAAACAAGTATGATATAAAATAGAGGAAAAGTATCTGTAATAAATCCAAGATAGTAAGATTTCTCAGGGGAGGAAAAAAATCAAATCCAATTAGGTATTTTCAGATTGCATTTTCATTTCCTTTCTGACACAGCTTTCTTTACCTTAGGTCTTGACTATATTTTATGTCCCACAACAATGAAATCATCTTCAGGGAAACAGTGTCCTCAGCTCCTCCTGTCTGGCTTTGCAACATTATAAGGAGCATGGAGTGGATTTCCTCTCTCAGGCAGCCAATTTCCTAAGCAATTAAATGCTGTTTATATTCCAAACTCTATGCTTGGGTTGAAATTGTCAAGCTTCATATTACCTGACTCTTGCCTAAGATGTATCCCCAGCTAGTTCATTCTACTGTAAGAGCCATCTATTAAAATTTCCAATCTGTTCTTTCCTCAAGGGATCTCACAGTACTTGGCAAAGATACAGCTTCTGAATTCCGCAAATTATACTCATCTATATAAATATATATTTTTGAAATGGCAAGGCTTGCAAATTACTTTACCAAATTGACATCCCAATCTGTTATTCTCTAAAAGGAGAGGCAAATGCCATGTACTTCATGCGTGTGGAGACACTTCTGTACTGGATTCTTAAAAACAACATAACCAGATGATACACTTTAATGAAATTCCTTCATGAGGTCATAGATCACGGTGCTAGTTTTTGTCACTTCTAGGTGTGGACGAACTGAATCCAGTTTAGTCTGTATAGATCATAATCTGATACCACACAATATATTGGATATTAAAGAAAAATTATTGTTCCAGTGAATATTCCTTGTTGAGAACCTTGATGTGTCTCATTTTGGCCACTCCTATGGTTTCCAGGCTGGATGGAAAAGTGAAATGATGTCTGTATCAGCACTGCATATGCTTTTTATTAAAGGGACAGCCACGGCCTATGTATTTACATCAGGAAGACATGACTTCTCAAAGCAGCAGAACACACCACAAGAGCATCAGCAGGAAGCATTCTTTGGTTATGGTGTGGGCATTTCAGTGGCAACTGCAGTTGATTAAGGGTTCTCAAAGCCCTGGATGGGGGATGAAGATTGGAAGCACAGTGCCCCTAGCCCCACCTTTTTTTTTTTTTTTTTTTTTTTAGCATAGAATGTCAACTTCCTATCTTCCTAAAATAGGTGTTAGGCAGCTTTTCATACATTTTTTTTTTAAGTGAAAACATCCAATCTACTTTATACACTGGCAGCAATACACCAGCTATGTTCTAAAACACTTGAAGGATCAATCACATCTCCCCTCTCGTCAGAAATCTGTTATGGCTTCTCCACTGCTTATGAAATAAAACCCAAATCCAGCAATAGCCTTCAGGGGTCTGCCATCTGGCCCAGATTGCCATTCCAGCTTTACCTCGCTCTAGAAAGGCAGCTTCTATGCTGAATTCCCTCTGCTTCTGTGGGTTTTTATTCCCAAGTCTCCAGCCTCTAACTAGAATGCTCTTATGACTTTTTTTTTCTCATGGGGGGATGATTTTTATTTATTCTGCAAATTTCAAATTATGCCTCCTCTATGAAGACTTTCTTGAGCCTTCCATCAACATTATTTGCACCGGCCCCTGAGTTCCCAAAGCATGTTGCATATAACTTGGTTGACAGTCATGCCACTGGCATGGTATTACAGTTAATTGTTTATCTGTAGACACCTACATGTGGCCAGCAACTCTGACTTATGTTCTCTCATCAAAACCTGACAGTGCTCAATGACCTGAGGAGGGTCTGACCATCATTTGCCTATAAAATGCCCATATGTTGCTCAGCTCACACAACTTTGGTCCATAATAGAACTGAATTCACATGTCATCCTAACTTCAAAACCTGGCATCACTGTAGTTTGCAGGGGCAGGTACTAAAGCCTTCCTATGTCTTTATTTCCCTCAGCATAAAACACCATGGAGGGCCTCAGAAAACATTAAAGGAAATAAAACATACTCTCTTGTAATCATCCTGTAAGAGCTCCACGGGTCCCTTCAACGGCATCTCTGAAGAACGGAATCCCATTCTATGTTTCTTTTCTGTCCTCCGTGGACCCTAGCACCATGTCTGCTGTTTTGCCTTAAGAAGGCTTTAAGAGTCTGGTAAACATGCACATTCTTTATAGAGCTGGAAGAACACTTAGACCGCCCCACCAATGGCACAACATTGGGTCAGAAGATAATAGCCTGCTTTGGGGGCCTTCCTGTCCCCTCATTCAGTGAGATCTGTTGAGTGACTGTACATACACTTTCATGGAGAACACGGGTGAGCATGCTGGAAAGGGGCAGGGCTCTGTCCCAGGCAGGAAGATGGAGCCCAGGTGTCTGCAGCTTCCAGGGGACTCCCAGCTAACCCCACCCAGCTCTGTAAAGAGTCTACGCTTACACCAGCCTCTTAAAACCTTTTGAAGGCATAGCAGACATTGTACTGAAGGGTCAATGGTGAAGAGGCAGGAAAAACGCTCAGTGCATGTCTGGGGATCCCTGCGGAGGAAAAAGAGCCAGCGTAGGTGGCCCATACCTTTCAGCTTTTCGGCCAGCAGAGCGGCTTCGTGCTCCGAGTAGTGCATTATGGCGGGCGGGGACGGGGGCCGGAGCCGGTCCTCCTCCAGCTTGCGCCGGTGCCGCTCCTCCCGGGCACGCATCCTCTGCTTGCATTCCCACTCATAGAAGTCATCTCTGGCCTGGGCAAAGTCCACATGAAGGCGGCCTGAATCCTTTTTGTCGGTGCTAGACCCTAATCGCATCCTGTAACCTGAAACCAATGGAAAATCTGGTCACACCATAATGTCACAGTGGCCACATGTTTTTCGTCCAGACCTCCAAGGCACGCTTAGGCAAATGCTCACTTATTTCTTTGACGTCACTACGGATACATTTCCCATAGGAGATGGGAAACAACTATGCTTTTCCCCAGCAATCCTGAAGCTCTGCAAAGTTAGGGCTATTACAGGTTTGGGGATAAACATCCCTTGGAGAGTTGTCTCAGAGGGATGCTTACCCATCTCCAAACCACTATCCCCAAGAGAAGATGATCCTAAGAACTAGGGGCTTATCATGGTCATTCCTTCTTCTCCCTGGCTTCTAGGAAGCTCAGAAACAAATTTGTCATGAAGCATTTTTTTCTCTACCTTTTTATGGCTTTGATTTTATTATATTTTCAGTTTACTATAATTCTATTGTTTAGGTGAAATATGAGTAAATACAGAGTATCTATGATATTTAAAAAGATCTAAAGTGAACTCCGGAACACCTCACTCACGGGCCATTGCTACCTTCCCCTAGAAAATGCTGCTGCTCAATTCTCTCTCAGCAGCTGCAAAAGCCACAATTACCAAGGCAATTTTGCAATGCTGTTTTATTTCCACTTATCCTCTGAGGCATGCAGGAGAATATTTTACCTTCAATCAAGAGGCCTCACCACTGCCTTCCTCACAGCCCTGCAGCACCTCATCTGGTATGCAGTACCACACAAATTGTTCATGTAATCTTTTAAGGCCACAGGAGCCTGTGCAAAAGCCTAGAGCTAGACAAAGAAAAAAATGGGCCTGGAAATCTTTGGGGGATTCACTGTGAGCTACCCAACTTATGTAAAGATTATGAGCAGAAACTTGATCTGAGAAATCAGCACTAACTGAAGCCAGCCAGCCGGCCTAACTTCAAATGAAGAAGAGTTGACTTTGAGGTTGCTCTTCAATTTGGGGTACTCAGATTTTCAGAACATAAATCCAGGTCCCAGCAGGAACACAGCTGCTGGAGGCTGCCAGAGGAGAGAGCAACATAAGCACTTTTCCAGGACAGGGGCTTTGCAAATGCGATACAACTGTAACATGCTAGACTGCACTGTGCTGATGTTCAATATCTCATGGTAGATATCTCATGGTAGATTTCAATGGATTATTTTAGCATTTTTGGGATAAAACTCAGCTGAAAATCTCTGTAGAGGCTGGCTTCTCCCCAGGAGGCCACTTCACACCTTTGAAAAGTTACAAATAAGGCATAAACCTCACATCTGATTTCTGTGATGCCATGGGACCCTTCTCACTGCTAGATTTTCAAGCATTATCTAAAAATTGGAAGACATAACAATACCAATCAAAAACAAAAACATCCGATCACAGATGCACAGAATTAATGCGAAAGCAAAGTGAATCTTGGTTATGGGCCAGGGAAACTTCGTAAGTCAGCAGGCCACAGTGAGACTTGCATAACAGCTGAGCAAGCAGGACTGTTTACACTGGCCAGTTATCCCAACTGGACAAGTACCCTTCCCCTGCTAAGGTCCAGAAAATCAGTTTTCAAACATTTCTGGCTCCAGAAACACCCTAACTTTCACAGAAATGTCATCATTAAGGACTTAAAAGAGACCCTGATGAGGCTGAGTCTAAAATTAGCTAGGCCTTGAAATGTGAATGTGGTCCTAAAATTAGACAGGCCTTCCAGCTGGGCTTGGACTTGCTGGAGCCTACACACAGGAGGGGCCGCCTGACTTCCTTCCTGCCTTTCTAGTTAATTGGCCTTGCAGATCTTCCTGGGACTGATTCTGCAGCCTCTCAAGGGCAGGGAGGCAGAGTTAGGAGGCTCCTCTGTACCCAGGCGGGGAGGCTGGAGGCCTAGCTGTCTTCTTCTTCCACAGTAATGGGGCAGACCAAGCAGCAATCTGGGGTTTGCTGAAAGAAGTGGGACCAGCGCCCAGGCTAGAAAATCATACGATCAAGGTATAATCAAAGAGTACTTTTCATATGCATAAATTTAGGACTGTGCATCTTTGTCAGTGTCTTATGAGGCTTCTGATTGGGTCTGAACATTGTGTTGTATTAGTGTTGAAAACAACCTTTGATTTACTCTAACCTTCTCATTTAATCAAGTGGGGTAAAGAATACAGTTGACCTATGAACAACATGGGCTTAATCTGTGCAGGTCCACTTGTAGGAGGACTTTTTTTCCAACCAAACATGCATCTAAAATACAGTATTTGAGGGACGTGAAACCCACATACATGGAGGGCTGACTTTTCATATACATGAGGGTCCTGCAGGATATACATGGGATGGGGGTGGGGGTCCTGGAACCAATCCCCTGAGTGTACTGAGGGAAGACCACAGTTTTATTGGTGCAGTGGTGATTAGAACCCAGGTCCCCGAGACAGGGTTCTTGAGATAGAAAAATCAATCCTTCTTTATCATGATCAGGATATTAGTGTTAAAAACAACCATTTCCTAAATGATTTCTATGTTGCAGGTGCCCTGCGAAGCACTTAATATCCATTATTTGATTTATTTCTCCTCACAATCCTACAAGGTCATACTGTTACTATCTTTATTTTGCAGATGAGAAAACGAAAGCTCTAGGCCATGAAACCCAGCACCACAAAATCACCAGAACCCCCGCTGTCTAACAGCGGATTATGTGTTGTAAAATGTCTTCATTCTATGCTTTGTCTTCCTTCTCCATTTTGAAATGCTTTTAGTTTTTATTTTCTACTTTGAAAGGTTTTACTGAAATAAGGAGTTTTCAAGTTCTCCATATCACTGTCTATCTCAGGAAAGTCTCTGCAGTACTATACCCTCAAGGCTTCTGGGGTTTGCACAGAATTTTGTTGCAATAGAGGCAGACTGCAGAAATTAAGGAAAACCTGGCAGGAATGTTCAGATAGGTTCCCCGCTATTGTTTTCCCACCTTCGCCCATTAGTTTTGCCTCAGGAATAGGGAGGTGAAATGCAGAGGGACAGACTGAAATATGGGGGTAGGGAGTGTGAGGGAAGGGCAGTTAGTTCAGTCTAAGAATATGTCCTTCCAAAGCCACCCTCTAATTCTTAGATTTGGAAAGGCCTTGTGGACAGACTCCATTCACTTGGCCCAGCACCCACAGATGGGGAAGGCAGCACTAGGCTTAATTTCATTATCTGCAAAAATCACCTATAAAAATTGGCACCAAAGGACAAGGCTTAATGAACCACCAAAGAGGCAATGACACCGGGCCTTCCCTGAGGGCCCCCGAGCTACTTTCCTGCAAGGAACTGACCTTGCTTTGGTAACCTGGTGTCTAGAAAGTGAATCCATTTCCAAAAACCTGAAATTATTCTGAGAGAGTACTTTACTCCCCCAGAGGATTACATCCAACAATAATAATGATCCTTAGTACTCATAATATTGCTTTTCATCTAATAAGCACTTGAGAAGATTAATTAGAAACTCGATGGAATTCCTAAAGACTGGTTGGTGGGAAATTACTCTTGCACTGAGGTACCTTCACAGATTTAGCACAGCGCTTCTGGCAGCCAAGAAGACAGGATTCTTCCTTTTCTAGCCCCAGACTATGAGGACTTTATTTTGCATTAAGGCCAAAGGGAATAAGCTCATATTAACATCACAAAACATAACAAAATGCCTAGAAAACTCCTTATGTAATGCAAAGTACCGGAAAGGTAAATGGCTTTATCAACCATGAATTCCTCTGCAAAGCGAATGTGACAAAAATTCTTCTTGCTTTTCCGAATTGCTGTAATATCACCGCACTGTTCAAAGACTTCTTGAATAATTTCTTCAGTAGCATTTTCTGGTAATCCTCCGACAAATACAGTCTTACACCCAGGAGGTCGTTCTCTTGTGGAAGGAGGTGGAAGATCTAATAATCACAACAAAACAGAGTTTTGTCTTTCATTCATTTGCTCTCTCTTTCTGGTTCTCCCGGCAAAACGAAAGCCTGCAGAGTAACTTCCTCCAGACTGACTGACGGTAAATTTCTATACCAATTTACATTTATCCCGGGCTGTCTTGTTTCTGTCCCTCTCCCCTCCTGCTCCCAACCTCTACTTTCTGTGTTCATTGCTACACAGAGTGGCTATATGCTTGTCCGTAAACAAAGATAAAGCAAATGTCTGCATAATTTCATTTCTCCTTTATACTACAGAAGCCCAGAAAAGGGAGGGAAAAAACTTCCCAAAGTACAAAACATGATGAAATGACAACATGATGAAAAACCTCAGCGTGTTATCTGCTTTGTCTCATTTCCAGATAAAGGAGCAGCAAAGCAGAATACAGCAAGCATAACCTAAAAAAGCACGCACAATACCTACTCGGCTGTGAAACACCGGGCCTGAAAAAAACACTTTGTTATTATTCACATTTAAATGAGCAAACTATTAAATTTTGGGGAGCCTGTATAAAAAGATAAAATGTACACTCTTACAACATTTTACCTAGTTTATATGTAGATTACTAAAGCAATCTCCTGAAAAGTCCACTTCAAAAAGGCAACACTGATTAACGTGAAAAAAAAAAAAAAAAAGTCCTAGCTTTTTAAGCGCATAAGCTTAGTATCTGAGGCAAAATTAAAAAATAAAATTCTGGCCCATTTACTTCATCAAATGTATGTTTCCTTCAAGCAAATGCAATTTGGTCCAGAAACTCTGAGATGCAGGCTTCCCTCTCTCCAGCCCCTAAATTGCTAACTGTCAAATTAATTCAATTTTCCATCTAGCAAAACACATTTCAGAGGTTTTCTCCCACATTTGTGAAGATGGATGGAAGTGTTCACATGTTTCACACTGTGTTCTCTAGCAAACACTAGACTTCACTGCATGCAAAAAGTCTTAACACCGGATACACATCCCCAGATCCCACGTACTGGCTTTATAGTGTGGATTCAGCTTCTGGACAGATACGTGGCCACATCCCTGTATATGTATTCTAATCGAGAGACAAAGGCCTTCTGTGGAATGGATCCCCATTCTGTGCATTTACATGTGAGGAGCATCTGAAAATGACTGCAATGCCATTCTTAAATTTAAAAGGAAAAAAATTTTAAATGATGAGCAAATATTTCTCATAGGTGTTACTTACTTGGATTTTGAGGAAAAAGAGTACAGCTTTTGCAGTGGATTATTTCTTTGACAACAGCCACTTCTGTTGGTGGTGGGGGAGGTACCAGTCCAAGGCCTGGTATCATTGGGTTAATGGGGGTGATTCCAGTCATCATGTTGAGGCTTGGATCAAAGCCTGGGACACAGATTGAGTCTGTAAAGTATACAAGATAACATTTTGACTAGAGATTAAATCCATTTCTGCTGTTGTTTTTGACATTTTCCTGTGAGGACGATTTGATTATATGCTTTCTATTTTTCAGGAATTTCTCCTGGCTAAGATGCAGTATTATAGAAAGCTATACCAGAAGGGTAAAGAGAAAAAAAGGAAAAGATGAACCTTAAGCCACATGAAAAGGAAATTATATTACTTAAAATATTAACATGGCAGAAAGAGCACAGCATATTAAGGTGTAAAAACTATGCACCATGAAGCTTCGCTATTACTGCAAATGCAATTTTCTCTTTCTTAACGTTGGTGTATTGTTTATACTGCCTTGTGACCCAGAATATGGGAAGAATATCATTTAACATTGAAGTGCCCTGGGAATCTAATTGTCAACGTGGTTTCATCAAACGAGCCTTCTTACCCAAGCGACCTAGATTTAGAAAAGTTCAATTTATATGTGCATACTTTATAATGATGTATTCAGGTCCCACCTAACCTATTTCCCCCGGAATTAAAAAAAAAAAAAAAAAAAAAAAAGCAAAACAAAGTGATTACAATTATTATGGCTGGGTTAGCTACATGCAGGTATAAAATTAGCTATATTCATTTCTGGATTCTATTGGATAATTGCACTTTCTTCCTATAATTTAGTCAACAAATAATTGACCTACCCTTTTGAAATCGTTATGCCCTGTATTAAAACACACACACACACACACACACACACACGAAAATAGAAAGTGTGCAAAATGAATGAGTTTTCCAGCATAAACATTGACTTTTTAAAAATCTGATAATGAAACAAGTGATTTCAAAGGTGACATAGAAACTAATAAGTGAGATCTTTCTAACAGCAGGGACTATGAAAGTACTGTTCTGAGTAGCTACAAGGGGATCCCGCTTATGAGGGTTTTCCCATTGGCAAAAAACAGTCTCACGGGTGGCGTGCAAATGTTTCCAGGTAGACAGGCCAGGAGAGATCATGGTGCTCTCCTCTTCCCTGCAAGAATGAAACTTCCTTCTTGTCTCATCCTCTCCTATATTTTTCTCCCTCATCTTACGTCACTTCCATTCTTCCTTCCTGCCGGCTGAGCCTCCCGCAGGCCCCTTTTGGTTCTCCTGTAAGCTTGTGGCTCAGGCCTCTGCATGGCCTCACTCTTTGCTTAACTGTGCTGAAAGGCTGAAGGAGCCCAGAAGCAGATGAAAGGATAACCACACCCTTTGTTTACTAAGAAGCGCCATAGGATACAGAAGGTCTAGAAAAAGGTTTCTTTTCTGGAAAAAGGTTTACAGAACCTGACAGCTACTTTGGACATTTCCACTCCTCCTCTGGGCTGAAAAGAATAAACAGTGTGATTCTGATCTATAACCCCCAGAGGACTGCTGTCCCATTTATTAAAAACTGCATTGAAGTTGACAGTGTACTAGCCTGACTTCAGTAAAAGGAGGGTGTTTTGGTTGTTTTTTTAAAAAGAACCCTAACTATAAATGTCAAATAAGCATTTTCTTTCAAAGTAGTCACCCTGGCATTCTAGGTACTTCCTCTACAGCTATGGCTCTCAGTTTCTTCATCTGCATTATGGGACTATTTGACTGGATTATCTCTTAGAGTGCTAGTATTCCAAGACTCCAGGATTCCATGCTGATGGTGCTCGGAACAAACTGACATACAAAACACATAAAGGTTTACAAGTGGCAGGGATGACTCTGCTTATTCTCTCAATTGTCAGAAAGTTTCACAAGTATTATTTCCATTTTACAGAAAAGAAAGTAGGGCCTAAAGCACTTAAGTAAAACTTCTAACATTCCAAATCAAACAAATGACAGAGTCATAATGAGGGCCCAGGTCTTTGTCTCGGTATTTAAACACATATTAAATGTGACATTTCAAAGTTTCCATCTAGAAGGACCCAACCTGATTATTCACCTAATACTAGCCACTACTTCTTAAAATTTACTTTACCCTTAAAAAAATCAAGATGGGTCCTGATCCAGAAGCTAATTCTAAAGGAAAAGTTCCAGAACAGAATGGTTTTCAACATCATCATCATTAAAATAACATATTGGCCTCCAAGGTGACCACATTAGAAAAAGAAATATTGGCAATGGGAATATTGGCATGCTTGTGCTTTTATTTAATCTCATTCCGTACATAGGCTTCATCTGTTTCTTTCCTGGCCTGGCCCTCGCTATTATTTGCCAACACGGGATGATTTAAGGCTGAAACCACTCAGGACTGCAAACCCTGAAATGAGAGCCCTGTGAATTATAATCAGCAGATGTTTCCCACAAATGAGAAGAGAAACCAGTGGTTGCATTCTCTTTAGTTGTAACAGACTTCTGTGTTCTTTCTGAAGGCTAAATAAATAAATGTCCAGAAATGGTGACAGAAGATACCACTCTTGTAGGAAATATTTTAATATACAGCAAGAGTTCCTTTGCTTTTTCTGAGACATCAGTGTGAGGAGACTATGAGGTTTAATGAAGTCTGCACGGCAAGTGCAGTTGCTTGAAAAGAGCTTAGAAAGGAATTAACACAAAAATTATGTTGGACCTCAAAGGATTGGAGATTCAGTATTTGAGAGGAGAAGGGAAGGAAGCATTAGAGTTTAAGAAAAAAAAAGAACCCATTACTTTTTGACAATATATGTAAAGATGTAAATTGTTTTCTCAAACAGCAAAGGAGAATAGGATGTACTCACTCATTAAAGCAAACGCACAAACTGAAAATCCAGGAAGACACAAACACAGGAAGACAAAGGTGAGAAGGCAGCGCAGCCCTAAGAGTCAGCTCCAGGCCCTGTTAGGAAAAGCTGTCCTACAAGCTTCAGAGATAATGAGGTATAATTTTACTCAGCGAATAAGAGAACTGCTTAAATCACAGCAAGAAAGAATCCAATTAAGTGTACAGTAGAACTTTATTATCAAAACTGTACTCAAACGAGAAGAATGAAGGGTTATTCATCTCAGACCGTGGTCCTGTCTGGCTTCTCTCTGTGTTGCCTGCTCCAAGCAGAGTGTCCACAGCCAAGGCTCAGCAAAGGTTTCTTTTTGGTTCTCTGTTCCCAATTGGATGAGACAAAAACCAAAACAAAAATCCTGTTTACTGATTCACAGGCCAGTGTTTTGTCAATTGGATGAGCATTTTTCAGAAGGCAGGTTGGGGCTTTATGTTTAGGATTTTAGAGGCATGGCAGTTGAATTAATTAAAGCACTCATTCAGCTGAATTAAAGCGTTCATTCAGTATTTCCTGGGCACATATGACTGCCAGGATCCGGAGTTACAGAGGTGACAGTAGTAAGTTCCCCACTTGAGTTTGAGGAGAGGATAAAGGATGGGAACCAAACTCCGCAAAACAGTTAGGACACACGAGCTGAGGCTCAGAGGACACAGAGAGAGCCTGGTAGTCCTGGGGAATTCCAAACAACTTTTCATGGCTGTCTCATGGTGTACATTTGGCAGTGTGGCCACAGTGTCTGGAGATACTGCAGGAATCAGATCAGATCAGAGGGACCCTGCTATTCAAGCTGGTGAGTTTCAACTTTGCTCTTCCCGGAACTTCTCCCCTCAAAGTCAGAGATGCACCCTGCCAGGCCAGGGCCTGGGTGCCTAGGCCACCCTTCCTCACTCCTTCTCTTTGTCTGCTGCCCCCTAGCCATGGCTTGCTCCTTTTCTGCCCTTTCTAGTCAATGCCTCAGTTTAGAGTCTCATATATGAGATGAGAACTAGATTTCATTTGAAAGAAAGGTGGTTGAGGCCTTTTGCCAGGCAAGGCTAGGCATACTAACTAGGTTAGGTGTGGGCAGGGAAAACAGACAGAGAGAAGTTCTCAGTACCAGGAATAAGTCTGGCCTGGAAGAAAAAACGAGGCGGTAATCAGGCTAAATGGCTGCATTACAGGTGTAGTCCTGGGCTGAGGGTATCCTGATAAAGTGGTTGAACACAGAGATTATTAGCAGCAGATAAAACACATGTCCAGCAAGGCGGCTGCCCAGAGGACTCTGTCTATGTGTCACAGGGCATGCACCCCCTGGTCCAGGGTTCAGATCCAGCCCAGGGGAACTAGAGTTTGCATCAACTCATGAAGTCATAGTTGTGAAATACTAGGCCAACTGGCAGGTTACTTAAGCCAGGATTCAGGTAGGAGAAGCAAGACGGGATCCAGACACCAGAATAGAAGCCTGGGGTTTGGGGAAAGAGATAGACCCCTCAGTTATCAGACATAGAACACAGGTCACAGCCTGACCAGCATAAAGCCTGCTTGGATGCTGAGTCTTAGAATGCAGGGCTCCATAGCCCCCTTCCTCCTGCCTGATGCCAGACGGACCCTCAAGTGCAGGGAGAGGCTGAGTGTGTGGCGCCAGGTCCCAGGACTTATGCAGGACAGAGAGACAGACTGGAGGGCTCTAATAAACATGCAGTCACTCTGCTTCTTCTTCCAAAATTACCGGCGTAAAATTATTGACCTATCATCACTCTGCTGCAGAGAAGCCACGTGATACATGAGGGCATTCTGCTTAGCAAGAGTTTCCAATGGAAAGACTTTTTCAGAATAGCCTGCTATTGCAATGGACAAGTCTTGCTGTTCTATAATATCATTAAATTTGTGAACTATTAAGGTAATGCTTTTTTTCATTCCATGCTTTCCTTTTTTCAAACATTCTTAAACTGTTCTGTGCACAACAGAGGAAAAGTGAACATTTTTAAAAAGGTGATCTGAAAGTCACGGGATCTGGCACAGCTGGAAGACCTAAGGCTGACTGGCTTTTTAATCTTTCTAAGCCTCATTTATAATATCTGTAAAATAAAGTGAATAATACTTACTTTTTAATGTTCTTGTAAGGATTAAATGGGATTAATAAAACAAAACCAAAGTGTTTAGCATAATGTACAGCACATGGTAAATATTCAATAAATGGTAGCAGTTACACACAGCATTGATAAACATATTAATGTATAGAATATTTACATAACCTTATATAAA